GGATTCACACTTTTCCCGGGGACACACGAGTATGATACGGTCAGTACCACTGCGGGTTCATTCCTACGGCCATCTTAACGTTTGTAGTAATATTTCTTTTGACACGTCAGGCATCTTTAATACTTTGGCTGCTCTAAGAGCAGTCGCACCAAACAAAGTGGTAAGAAGACAAATACTCCACAGCTAGTGGCTCTGTAAGACTTTGCTATGCTGATGTTTAGCAGGTATAATCTTTACCTTATTCACCATCATAGCATGTTAGAGTAGTCAATAAGGACGTTTCTGCTGTGTTTTGTCTCCAGCTGCGTTTCATCGTCGACCTCCTGGGTGAACCTCCTAAGAGACTTCTGAATGGTGGAATAAATACTGGGCGGTTCTATCATGGAAGTCGCAAGTGCCTTCTGTTCCTGCGATGGACACTAATGGTACAGTACTTCACCCTTCTTTGGCTTAAATAGCCAAACATGAATTATCCTCGATTAGATAATTTGCCATTAGTATAAAAGCGTTAACTTTGATGAAGAGACACTTCAAGTAGATTTTGTCCTCTTTAAGACGCCAAAGGAGTTCCAGGCTGCAACAGGCATCAAGTCCTCGGAAAACAGGAGTCACCGGTTCTCCTCTCTGGACGAGCTGAAAACAGTAGGTTGACAAGTAGATGCTGCCACTAAATAGTCAATCACGAGCCAGGGAGTGATTTTGGCCGATTTATGTCTTTTTAAATTTTTTGCAAAATTAGTTCAGCCTCAGCCCGCACCAAACAAACAGTGCAGACGCTGCTGACAGGAAGGCTTGTGTTGAGCTGTTAAAGAAAATGCTTCAGATGGAACCCAGGAACAGGATTACCCCAAACAACATCCTGGCCCATCCATTCATAACAAGGAGCACCGGCAACAGTTGCCTGTAAGTGTGTATTAGGCCCTCTTCTTGGCACACAGGGTATCAAGACAATAGTAGTCATTGTAGAATCCTTTACTGGCTGGTCTAACGTGTATCTTTATGTGCAATTTGAACATGATCATAAAAGTGTAAATGTATCCTTTGGTAGCAATGAAACTTTAGCCGCTGGAACCAGTTGGAGCCCAGCAATCAGCAACAAAGACACTGCAGAGACCAACGCTGATCACAGGTAGCTGATGATTTATATGTTTTCTTTAGGTGTGTGGTCATAAGCACATATTTGTTGGACTATCAGTTTGAAACATTTGCTCTCTACTCGGCACACTTGTAAAAGGGGAATTGCTCAATATATCTGAACAACAAATTTCACGGGCGTACTATTTGTTGAGTGCATGCGTCTTTGTTTACCTGTGGAACCTCTGATCATGCCCACCCTCTCGTAGATGGCCCACACAGCTGCCGGTAGGCGTCATTATGGTTCTGCCAGCTGAGAAGACCACGCAGAGGTAAGAAGCCACCAAACTGAGTAGCTCCATCAGGTACCATCATGTCCTCTGGTCACTAAACCTTCGGATGAGGGTAAAACAAAAGGCACATGGAGTTAGGCAGTATTAAATTAAAATCAGTGATCATGTGCATACCTAATATACACAAACATTCAATGGGCCAGTTACTTGTTCAAACACTAGAAATCTCACTGTTTCAATAACTAAGTACATTTAGTCACACTCAAATACGATACTTAGAATGGTTACTTCTTTCTAATAACAATGCATCATGACAGTGTGAGCACCAAACGGCAGACATACACACCGAGCGACTAGTTGGTGAATATAGAGGAGCATTTAGCAGCTAGAGAGCGAGATTAATCCCTCGGGAGAGTGACTATTGCACGTGCATTCATCCATTTGACACAAACATGACTCTCAAGTTATGATAATGTCGCTCCGAACCTGCTGGATGTGTGAATACTCAACATTGCCATATCAAAAGTCAATATACTGTAGAGCTCATAAGATGTTTCTGCTGCCCCCAAGTGGCACATTTAAGTGCTTGCACTTTTGAGTATTTGCATTTTATGTTACTTGTTATACTTCTATGTCAATACAATTCAGAGGGAGGTATACAGTTTACTCCACTCGTTTCTAAATTAATTTTACATACAATATGTGATGAGCTTACAACATATCATGCGTTGTTGTAGATCAAACTATCCAACAGTATGTAAAGTAGTAAAACACTTGCTTCACCACAACCAACTAAAACAGTAACATTCTTGTAACATTTTTACAATGTCTTTTTTTTTTTTTTTTAAATCAGCCCTACTGAGCTTTTTAGCCTCTTTTATTAATTTTGGTTGTACGTCAATTTCACGCTCATCAACCAGCATCCAGCATTTAGATTTATTTAGACGCGTAAATAGGCTAATATGTTAGCCGTATTGAGAGAGAGAGACAAGATTGTTATCAACCAGAAAGCTGGAGTCAGGGCGTGTAAGGTCAGACTTTAAAACTGTTGACGCCAGCATCTCCTCTGCATGAGACTGCTGGAATTTTTTTCGCATGTGGAATCAATGTGAGAAATGTTAGGTAGTGGATCCTATAGGCTGACGCAGGCACACCCTTGCCCTCAAAAAGATAATGTCATTGCTTCCCTCTGGTCTAGAGAGGATTGTATGGACCAACAATGACTCTGTGTGTGTGTGTGTGTGTGTGTGTGTGTGTGTGTTTGTGTAGTCCCCAGGCTGTGCAGAACAACATGACCAACCCTCCGATGGCTGAGGATGATAGAGACCACATATTGGGAACTGTCAACAACATCAATTATGACAGTGGTCTTGTATTGGAGTCCATCAGTGATCGGGTCAAAACGAGCTCATTTGTGGACTGGGACAGTGTCGAAGTTCCCGACTCCTCCAGCAGTATAAACTCCTCGCACATGATTGGTAGGAAACTGTCCACCACTCCTCCACATCTCCAGTTATTCCTTCGAAGTTGATCAAAGCACTTTTATTTCATTTTAATTTGCAGAGGTCTGTGACCCCAAGAGGAAGAAAAAGAAGAAAGGAGTCCGAGGATTCTTCTCCATCTTGATGAGGATTATTTTCTGCTGCTTCTGTGTGTCTGTGGACACCGATGAGTGAAGTGGTCTGTGAACGTTTTGTGGTAAAAGTCAAGCTCTGTCAAGCTCAGTTCAACCTCATCAGTTTCCATTGCACTAAATTGTTCTTGGATGTTCAAAAGTCCATCAAGTTCTCAGGACTTTTCCAGACAGAAACAGCTAATAAAACAAATTTCCGTTGTTATTACTACGTTGTTTTGTTTCTCTTAAACATGTCCTCCTCTGATCTACTGACAGTCGTGTTTTCTGACATTTAGACTGATTCAATAAAGCTACTTTTGGGCGATTCCATGCTGCTGTTTCACACCTTCAATTTCATCTCAAACTACAAACTGCATATTAAAAACAATGATAAGAAATCCAGACAGCAAAGATGCTGTGATTTCAGCTGTGAATATTCCAGTATGTGGTGCATTTGAGGTCAAATGGCCTTTCCAAACAAGTAACAACGAGTCTGATGCATCCTTCAGACTCAAACTATACATTTGTTTTTTGTCCCACAAGAGGTAAGGATCCCAGAATGAAATAGTTATGCCTCTTCCTTTTTCATTCATCCAGCAATGGTGTTTTCTCATACATAAATCATTTAGTGACATCCCTCATATTAATAAGAGTCACCGACCAGTAAGCTCAGTTCTGACCTGCCTTCCTTTTATGCTGGAGAGCTTTAGAGAGTATTTAAAACTTTTGAAAAGACAGGAGATAGATTCATCTTACCTGGATGGATGGGTGTGACATGGTTAATTACGGTAGCCTCATGGAGTCCCTTTCGTTTTGGAATTTTCTTCCAGGATTTTGGAGGGCTGTTGAGAAAAAAAAATAAACATGGAATTAACGGTTTTAAATGGGACCAGAAAGTCCTGGTTTGCCCTCTAACTCCTGCTTCTCTTTGTCAACAATGGGGTAAATAACACAATTTACATAATACTATTTGCTGCAAGCTACTAAACTCGCCTATTTAATGGCTGTCCGTTTGGGTAGCTCTGTTTGCCCAGCTCATGGGAGGCAAAGAGACGGTTTCTCTCACAACCTCACAGTTAGTCTGGTTTTTTTTACCTGCAGTAGGCTACACTCCAAAAGTTTGTATATTTTTTTCAACAGCGGTTTAGTTTGACGTGATGGCTACCGAGATGTTTAATCTCAAATGATTCCCCAAGAGGTAAACATTCAAATCGGTGCTTGAAGACAGTTAACGACAATCCACTTATTTCGCAGAGGAAAGGTTTTCGCCAATTACGAGGCAATGACGATAGGAGTGCTCGGCAAACAGCCAATCAAATTGCAGGAGGACAGCACTCAGTCTTGAGCATGCGCAGACGGATTTACCACAGATGGGCACTTAACGTTGCATCTGCCTGCTCCTACTCTGTAGCAAGTAAAATTAAAACACCATATTAACTAACTTAACTAACATGTACAGCCAATGATCTTACATTTTGGTGATGATAATAACAGCAGCAGCCCTGGATTATTTTATGTCATGCATGCATTTGTCAAGAATTATAGGAATTTCTAAATTACTCCAGCAGATGTGACTTTACACGTTGCCCCTATGCACCATACATTACATGAGATGATTTACAGATGTTTGACCAACACACAACATGGTGTGTTGAGCATTTTATAAACACCACAAAATGTGATGTGTTCCAATGTGAAAGAATATTACAGTCCCAGTTCTTCTTTAGCACGTGAGTAAATAACTTAAATTGTTTCAGTGTAACTCAGTTGCTATATCAACAAACTAAGATGCTGTGATGATAGCAGATCCTGTTATTTTTGGGATGCTTGCTCCAGATGTGGTTCAAAAGGATTTGGAATTCCCCACGACACTAAATGCACGACGTGAGTGGGACTAAAATTGCATGCAAATTAAATAATAAACACATGTAGAGGGGAAGCCTTGTTTGACATAGAATTCGTGAAATTATGTGTGGTCATGGTGCTTTTATTGTGACAGATTCAGACCGGAAGTGCTGCCGTCGGTGCCACGCGATTAACCTGCTAACGGAAGACAGCTGCCTGCGTACCACAAACACATCATAACGTCTCTCAAAAGAGAGGTTTTCCACACCGCACAGTGAGTGACAATTTACTCAAATTGATCTAATACGATAAACAGGTCTTTTGAAGCTCGTTAGACATAAACCTCGTCTCGCGGAGGGGCTTGTTTCTGCTTGTTTGTGCAATAAATCAACTTGTCATTGGTACCTGTGTCATCTAACGGTTACAGGAGCAGCTAACGGTAACCGTTTGCGATGATTATTACGTTAATAGGTGTATAGCATTGAATACAGTAAAAGGGTAGCCGTTAGGTCAATGCGGGGCTTTTAAAAGGGAAAGTTCATTGACAGCAGTGGTTGTATTTCCGTATGCTACTTTTACGGTTCTTGCTAGTAAGACATTAAGTGTTTATACTGTATTGAATTGGCCAATTTGAATGCGCAAAGCCTTTTCTTAGTTGTGCCTATTTGGAGAAAAAAAAGTCTTTACTAACGTTACTTCCTTGATATGCTCGTGTGCAAATTATTTTCATTCCGTGCCCCTCGTTAGATTCGTCGCCGATTAGGAAGGGCAGTGATACCACGTGGGAGTCACATGAACGACGAGGATGAGGCATGAACAACAAGGGGGCCGCTTCAGGAAAGAGCCGCTGCACACTGTCCGACACAGGGAGGGGGTTCGCTGCTTGTAGAGGCCCTGCACACTGTCCGACACAGGGAGGGTGTTTGTAGAGGCCCTGCACGAGCAGCCCCCCCCCCTCTTCTCCTGATCATATGCAATGAACAGCACCACTGAGCCCCCTGCCATCATAGATGGAGATGTGGCAGTCAGCTATGTGTTGGTGCCATTTTTCCTCATCACCATTATTGGAATAGCTGCAGCTGTGGTAAGTTGCACGTTGAGTTGGACCCACGCAAAGTTAACTTGCTGGAAAGCGTGTATACGTGCTGCAAAGTTGAACGTAGGCAAAATTAAAAGGCACCGTCATAACACAGTACATTAATACTGTTAATTCTTGTCTGTTTCAGGTCATGTATATCCGTAAGAAAAGGAGGTAGGCTTTCAATACACCTACATTGATTTCTATGGCACAATGCTTTTCTGATTAACCCGATGGCTTCGCTTCTGTGAACCAGTGGAAGTCATCAAATCGATGTTGGGATTTCTTTTGTTTCGTCCCGCAGAATCGACAGACTCCGTCATCAGCTGTTACCGGTTTACACATATGATCCATCAGAGGAGCTGAATGAAGCGGAGCAAGAGATGTTGTGGAAGGAGGAGGACACAAGGGTAGGATGCACCCTTTGCTTTTCAGAACTGTTGGAGTTTCGTGTTCTCTGGGACATTTTTCTGAACGCGAGTGGGACGAGTCATTGGGAAATTGCATCTAAGTCGGGATCATTACTTAGAAAATGTAGTTACAAGTTATTATTTCTAAATGTAGAGGGTTAGGATTAAGCATGTCGGATCTAAACACAACTGATATTTCCACAAAAGACATGGTCGCCTGGTTCTCTCCAGTGAGTGTGTTTCTTTAAACTGTGTGGTTGTCGTTTATTGTGGCATAGCAGCACATCAGTTCCTCATTTGGTCAGTCACTTCCTCCCCCACATAGAAACCTGGCTGCAAGAAGTACAATAGAAAGTATAGTGATAGTAGCGGTTGTAGTAATATAGTAGAAAAGTCGCACTTCTCGTTTTGTTTGCAAGCCTCAAATCCCTCACAATATCTGTCGGTGGCTCGTTTTAGTTTCTCCCAAACTTATTTCCTAGAATCAATGTTTATGTTCGGTTAACAGTAGTTACTAAAACCAAATCTATCAGTCTGAAGTTCCTCTGATACTCCTGGTGGTATAAATGCTCTAGTTTAGAAATGGAAGAAATAGAAATAGCTGGTTATAGATAGAATAACACTACAGACGTGAAATGATTGACCTGGTTAACTCAAGTCAAAAATAATGCACCGAGCCATGAGAAACACTAGGTGGCAGTGTTGCCCACGGGTAAAGTTGTTCACTAAGTTTTACTCCACAATTGTTGTAATATTAAAAAGGGAAGAACAATACCATCAAATACAGTTATGTATTAGTTAAAGAGGCTACTATTGTTATTATGTCCTTAAAGGGTCTGTTCACCCAAATCACGCAACATTTGGTCACTTGCATAATCGTCATTGCTTGACACCACTCGGTAGGTGACAGTCTTGTTCTTTTGCGTGTGATTCGGTTGAACCGACCCTTTTATCACAGTAACAACAGTTTACATATCCTCATTACAAATAATGTTGTAAAGATGAACGTTTTATGTCCTCAGATTGTACAAGGCTGGGCCAGAAGTTATCAGCAGCGACGCCCTCTTCTGACCAAAGATGTCAATGCATGATGGCGGTAAACCACGGCACAGAACATTTTCAGTGTGGAGACAAGCTTCAGCCATGTTCTTGAAGTCATGCACAAGACAATCTTTTTGTCTGATTTATCTTCGCCACCGTTTGCCGTTATCCATCCTGTTTTATGTACAGACCGAGTGTTCATTTCTGTGGTTCCAATCCTGTAACAGACACGGTGCCATTAATTAATTTATTTGAAAATATTTATTCAAACCTTTTTTTTTTTTTTTTTACTGCGGTATTCACTGATATGACTCAAAGTTAAGCGATGTGTAGTCTTTCTAAAGATGAAGGCTCCTGTGGGTTTACTCTGCTGTTTACATGCATACTGTTGGAGTGGGTGGCATGTGGGAGGCGGTTATGTTCCTGTGGGTTGCAGTAGACATTTGCACTGACTTTAATTTGGGGGCAGTGTTGACGGTGTGGTGAGCGTCTGAATGTTCTGCACTAGTTTAAAGTCATCACTCTTGCAGTAAGAAGTTTGGATAGGTTGTTGTGAAGAGGTTGTTTGCAGTGCAGTAAAAACCAATATGGCTTTTTTGGTTAAATGTTTTCAGTTTTCGGGTTGCATTTGTTGACATAAAGCACTATTAGTATGACTTTTAAATTCAAATAAAGAGAGATTTATGAGATAGTTTAGCTAGGTTGGGTGACCAGTTTCATTTTGAGTCCAAAATTGAAACGTGCCCTTTTTGGTTTTAATTTCCTCCCCCACGCCCCGGATCTTTCTTTGGTTTAGCCAAATCCTATGACTCTTATCAATGGCATGGTTTAATAACACCAACCCCCTCACATCCAAAAAATGAGCTGTGACTCGTGCCCTGAATATGTCCTGTCTAATGGCATGGCACCAACATAAATGTACCTCCAGCTGAGGATGAATGCCAAAGGTCTGACTGTACCAAGCACTCAGGAAACCTCGCTCGCTGTTTCTTTTCTGGACGAATTGTAACCTTCATTTGCCTTTGCAGTCGGGAATGTAATCTTAACACAATGTGTTCTTTAAGGGGAACATTTATTGGTTAGGATTATAAATGTCTTGGACAGATGATGCCTGGACTTGATGTTATGCGTCACATCTAGATGTTTCAGAATGAGAGCGTTTTTATAGATTGTTTCACTTGTGATTTGGGATAAAAACATTTTTATCGCTGAACATGTTCCTCCGTGCTCCCCGGTCATCTTTACAACTCACTGTTCATTTTATATGAATTATCTGAAGACTATATTTTGTGTTAAAAGACAAATTAATTTGTGAAATAGGTTTGTCACAATTGAAACTATATTAATATCCAATCATTACATTGGTTTGCACTGGTATAACAGAGTTCGGGTTGCACGTGAAAAGTCAATGAACTACTGATGTAAATGTGAATTTGGCAGCACTGTAAAAGTTTCACCGTCATTTAAATATGAATAAATTGATACGACTCGTCTTTATGCTCATTGTCATCTGCATCTCAATTAGTCTGTATGGTATCAAGGACTACGATGCACACCTGCAAGTCTAGTGGGGTGTTGGGTGGAAAAACTGGATGCATGACAAACATTGACAAAGAAAAAAATCTTTATTGACCATTTCTGATACAAATTGTTGTAGGGCACCATAGAAATATAGACATTGTACATTTATATACGGTGTACATTAAAAAGAATGATCCCATCCTATTGACAGTATATAAATGAACGGATGTTGGCATGTAAAAATGATACCGATATTGTCCAGAGTAGTTTGAGGATGTTGGGAAAGATACGTGAAACGACCGTTGTATGAGTACGGCCGCCGTGTGGCGAACACACGGCGGCCGACGGGACAGTTAAGTGGAAAAAGAGAGGCCAGTCCATCACAAACATTAGTCCATGAACATCTGAACCAAACATTTCAGTGCACCAGAAGAATAAAAACACACCTGCTAGTCTACCACAGTCAGCGAACACAGTTGTCAAGCTGACAGGTCTCCCTGACTTGCTTCACACATTAACCGGTCTGCGAGCTCCGGTTATGAACGAGCCACGACGTGCTGCGTGTGAGCACACAATCACAACATTTGACATCTTGGATATACCATGACAGGTTAAAATAAAAATAAAAACCTTTGTAATAACAATTTTCTAACTCATGCCAGAGGTTACATTAAAAAAACCCCAGTTAAATGCAATTACACTGTAAAGTAAGCCATTGAGTGAGGTATGAAATTCCAGGCCTTGTATCGCCTGTTTGCAGTTTTCCGGGTTCGTAACTGAGGTTGTAGCAGCTTAGGTGTGTGGAAAAAACCCAGTTAAGAGGACTGTGACTGCAGGTTCCCTGACACTTAGAAATACACAAACTTTTTTTTTTTTCTCTTCTTGTAGCAGACAGCGAACAACACACATCTTCAAAAGACTATTTAAGTAGATTACTGTTCTAGGTGATGACAGAAGGACCGAGCTAGGCGAAGCAGTGAGCTCGATGGAATGAAAAACATACTTGCAGCCCTGTTGGATAGTAAATGCCACCAACTATCCTCCATTACAATCAAACTCCTGGTTTGACCAATTGCAATTTGCCTTGCGAGTGATTGGGTGAGCGCATGGAAACCGAGGACCACGTGAAGACAAAGACACCATGTTGAGGACAAAGACGCCGATGTGACGGCATTCGTAAAAAGCTCCCTGAAGAAATGACACTGATGCTCTCTGCCTACCATCCTTAAAAACACATACCAAAAAAAAAAAAAAAGATTTGAGTTTTATTGAAAAGCAGCACACTCATGTTTGTTTAAATGGTATGTAACCCGAAGGAACAAAAACAGTAAGTAATCAGACTAACAATACACGTTACATCTCCCAACTACACGCAGAGGACCTTGAAGGAAGTTCGAGAAGCGTAACGAGACCTGAACTGTCCGACAGGATGTGGGTAAAAGGTGGTGAAGAGGATTCTGCTCTACTGGTGGGATGGGGCAAAATCAGTTAATGCAGATTTTGTTTTTTTAAAAAGCAGGAAAAATACACCCTACCGCCTGTTATCTCATCTTAAACGCTGAAGTTCAACTCCATCTATAATACGATGCAAAGGATAGGTTAACCACTTCACACGGAACACACACACACAAAAAAAAAAAAAAAAAAAAAGTTTAGGTAAAATTCACCTTTGTCCAGTACAAAACATGGAGGAAAGAAATCTATATGCCCTACCATCTCAGATGCAGGTTCAACAAATAAGTAACATTAAGCAGAGGAAATGTCCTACAAACCATCTTTAGGGGGAAAAACTGAAATGTCCATGCTCCTCTGAGCACACCTTTGTCCAGTATAAAAGACTCGTGATAACATGACGTGTTGAGAAAAGGACCGTTACCTTTCATGTAATTCTTAGATCTATGCTTGAGCAAAAGGTCCATCGTTCTATCCAGTGCGGCTGCATGATATTTGTACTGTGTTTAACCCTCCTTTTGGCAAAGAGGGCTTTGTCGTGAACAGTGGTCATGTGGTGGCACCTGGTGTTGGAGATACAGCCCAGTTCTGGTTAACAGTAAGTCAGTATGTTGAGTGAGGTAGCATGCGTTGTAATTACTGGTCTTCTTCATCTTCCTCCTCCTCCTCCTCCTCCTCAGATGATTCCTGGGATGCTTTTTCTTCCTTCTCCTGGGACAGGAAGAAAAGAAAAAAAAAAAAAAAAAAAAGCATGTTTTTACTTGTAATAAACACCACCCTTAAAAACAAAAATGTTATTATAAATCTCTCTGATAAACCACTATGGCATGAAGAAGACCCAGGGGAAGAGTGAGCCATCTGTAGTGAAATGTGATTCATAAGAGCGGTGAGTCACAATGAGGCATCCTGTTTTTGCTCCCTTGCTTTTCCTGCTCACACTCACTGCTGCCCAAGATGTTCATTCATAAAAATGAAGAGGGTAACTTCGGGTCATTCCTCTCTGTGACTAATTCAATCCAGGCTTGTTCCAACAGTACGCCCCGACCACTCATGCACATGACACAATGCTACTAGAGTGCACATTTCTTCCTCCATTAAAAAAAAAACAAAAAAAAAAAACACGCTGCACATGTTATGGCAACTCATTTTTGCAGTTACAAAAAAGAAGAAAACTCAACATTTGGACGAGGAACACTTTTTTTAAAGATTCAGAGCTGCTCCAAAATGAACAAACTCCATAACACAAATAGCTGATGAGTAAAAAATGACTCATCGGAGAGGAAGGATGCAGGCAGGGGAATTAGGAAAATGCAATTTTCACCCTGCAGACAGTCATTCCAAGCATAATTCAATCCGGGGCTGAATGGTTTAAAACAAAAGCAAGCCCTGATGTCGAACTGTTCGTCAGAGGACTCTTACCTCCTTCTTAGGTCTCCCTCTGCGTTTCCCCCCCACAGCCGGGGCTGGTGCTGCCGCCTTCTGCGAGGAGAAGAAGAGTGCACGTTTAACAGAGCGCCATCTAGTGGGCCTGCAAGAGCCGCTGCCAAATAGTTAGATAACAGTTCAAAACTTTTTTATTTAGCAATTTACAAAGCTTTTTACATCTAAATGTGCTGAAGAATTCATGAGTAGAGTTAATCAAACCTTCAATGAGCAGTTATGTTCAACTATCACCAAGTCGCACCAGGTAGAGACAAACCTTTGTTGTTACCGTTAGCTAGCATTGCAGATGCAGCGACGCTTTCTCAAACAAACTTATGGGCAAAAACCCTGTGCCAAAGCTCTCAAGACTGTTGAGAAAATATACGACTACATTAATCATAATGGCAGGCAGTGATAAGTACGGGTAAGCAGATTATTTATTTTAGCCATTTCAGCTGACATTAAGCATATTTACTGCCCAGTTTATTTTCTCTGCTTGTTGCGCCATGTCGTGTTTTCTCCCTCTCATTTACTGGCTACGGTGGTCCTTGGAAAACAGTCAAGAAGTGGGCCTTAAGTTACTAAAGGTTGAGGAACCCCTTGGTATAAACAAGCAAAATCTTCCACAGAGCTCTGCTGCCGGCTGCCTGCAGATGGCAGTCGTACCTCTGCAGTGAGACGGATAGAAAAGGGGGGCATTGAGTTCATTGGCTATTATCTGGAAGGCCGACAGGAACTGCACACAGGGCACTCCAGTTCGCCGGCCACCTGGTCTGAGGCTCAGAGACAGCTGGTGAGACGGAGCGGAGACACAAGCCCTCTGCAGGCTAAACCTATATCATACATGTATACGTGTCTCTCTCCCTTTCCCATACATAGCAGTGAAGACTGAGCACACGGGGGAGCTGGAGGGTTGGGGCGGGGGAGAGAGAGAGAGAAGAAAAAAAAAAAAAAAAAAAAAAAAATCAGTTGTTGCTATGGAGACGACGGGCAGAGAAGAACTAGGGCTGTGTGCTGGGTGGAGGCGGAGGGGTGCTTAGTGTCAGCTCGGAAACAGGCTTGCGGCCTCTGCACCTGCACCAAACTCTGCATGACAAGCTGCAGGAAGCTGGAGGACAGGAAGTACAGGGTAGAGCATCACTTAAAAATAAAAAAAGTAAGGCAGTAAACCAAGGTCCTTACAATGGGAAACCCAAGCCAGGCTATTTCTGACACCAGGAGAGGGGGGGGCAGCTACATTGCAGCCAACCGATATATCACAAGTAACAGCAGGACGTCTTTTTTTTAAAGAGGATGGGGTTAGCTAGTGTTAAAGCGGTCCATCAACAAAGAGGAATCAAGGGTTATAAGAGGGAAGTGGTCGTGAAGCTGTGCCTGCCGTTACGGGTCAGGATGCTGAAATCACAACATGGCGGGATTGACTTACTTTGCCCTTGGTGGCCGTCTTGTTTTTGCTGCCCTTCGGCCGTCCTCTGGACCTCTTGGGAGCCGGGGAGCCGCTTGGTTCCTGACAATCACGACGGTGAAAATAGTTAGCATGCCGCAAAAGTATCAGCGTACGGCAAAACATCAGATAACATTTTACAGTTACATGCAATACTCACAGACGTAAAGTTAAACTTTGACAGGTGCTCAGAGCTGCATGAGAACCACAGAAACAAACTATGTAAACTGTTATCAACTAAAGTGTTCATGAAGACAAACACTGGTTGATAAATAGTAAACTCTGACTAAAACAACTACACTGAGGTGCAGAAAGGGGAATATCCAAGTTACCACTGAGCTAGGAGGAGGGGGGGGATTACCATCGACTCCAAAATGAAAGGTAAATTCAGAGCCTTGATCATGTGATCATGTGTGGCTGCAAGCCGTGTCATGGCGGACCGCTCTCCTGTTGAAGGAGTGTTTACAACTGCAGCTCATAGCAACCGAGCAATTCAATACTGAAACGGCACCTCGCTGAGTGACAGCTGTATGAGCCATTCTGCTGTCATCCATTACATGACAGGCAGAGGGGAGTCATAGGGGGAGGGGGCGGGGGGGTGAAACCTGGTTTAAAGGTGTTGGGTTACCGGTTGCTTACAAACCTGTCAAGACACACAGGAAGTTTGGTGTCGACTTCTATGCTTACGACGACATGGGGGTGAGCAAATGGTCACTCGCTGCAGCCCATATCGTGATTCAGTGTGGCTCAGTGGAAAAGCAAGGGGGCTTATGTCACGGATATGCACGAGCACCTCACCTGCAACAACATCTACCTGAGCACTAAATGGAACAGATGTGACCGGAGGACTTGTTTTTGTTTCCTGGTTTTTAAAAAAAACACCAACTCCTTTCCGGCTCTTCGTGCACACGCCCACCTTTTGTTGCGTTTCAGGTCGCAGACACTCGTGAAACACAAACCGGATGCAATGACCCACTTTAATACATAAATTGGCACTACTTACGTCAGAGGTCTTTACTTGGGGCTGCTTGCGGGGTCTTCCACGCCCCCTCTTCTCTGTTGCCTCCTTCTCTTTCGGCGAGACTGTCCCCTTGTCGCTCATATTTCCTCAGCTCTTCAGACCTAGGAAGTAAATCACACGGGTCAGGCCTGCAGCAGCACGACACGGCGTCAAGTTCTCACAGGAAAAAAAATACAGGGGGCTGTTAAACTCACTGACCGCAACAACAAACCCAAAAAAAAAAAATGAGCGGACTGACCGCACAACGGTAACGCGTTTAACTCAGATTAATCCGCGCTTATTTCCAGGGCTATTTCTGTCTCATGTGTGCGCCTTCACGCAGCGGACGGTGCCACACAAACAAGGGATTGACTCCGTCGGCGGTCGCACAAATCTGCAGAAAGACGGCTGAACCCGCTGCTCCTTCCCCGCACACCGACCATGTTTAGAGCCCCCTCCCCTTTGCTGTAGTTGTTGTGTGCTGTGGTCGGCCTCTGCGCGTGGAACTATCTCGCAGCGTGTATGCACGCCGGAGACACACACACAAACACCGACCCATACAATGACTGGTGTGTGTGTGTGTGTGTGTGCTCGGGGAAGAGACTTCCAGGTAAAACCGAGCCTGCATGGACACGTTAAGAAAAAAAATTATTATATAAATATATACAACCGAGCGAGGTGCGTTGGGTTAGTTGGCGGCGGTAACAGCCCGGACCCTCAACAAAAGGCGGCTTCACGTTTAAAGCATGCAACCCCACCTCGAGCTCCAGCGCTGTAAAATGTAATAAAATCCGGTTCTTGTTTCTATCGAGCATGCAAAAAAAAATAAAAAATCTCACCGGCTATGCGGCTGCGTTTCTTGCACTCACCTATCGCTCGGCTGTAATCGCTGCTCTGAATTTAAGACCTAATGTTTCCTTTAAGCCTGGCTGGTTGTACCCGGTTAAAAAGCCTTGAACGGCTCTATAGGCTACAGCTTTTATTCGTCAGACGACGCACAGCCCGCCCCTTTAGAAATCCCAGAGCGTGCAGGGTTAAATAAGGACCCCGCTTTGAATTAAAGAAGAGGACGGGGTTGATTTTTTTATTTTTTTTTGAACTAAATCAGCTTGAAAATTCTTACCAGCAGGTTGAGAAGTTTGTTCCTACGACGTCCTATAAATAGCACGTGTGTCTTGTCTCCAGCAGATAACGAAAAAAGGCGGCAGGCAGGAGGGGTTTTGAGGCAATTTAAAGAGCCGCCCTCATGGGAGGGCGGATATTTGATAAATGGGCCACCAACAGTGGAGGAGCCAGGAGGACATCCTTCTTATTCCACAAGTTTGATAACAAAATACCAAAAAGCACGTGTTTAAGTGGCAGAATATACTTTCTGCTATGCAAGGAATGATTACAATGGTCACTTATTGTATGTAGGCTATGTGCTCAACAGTACATACCAGAGTCTCCACAGCGATGGTGAGTGAACTATGACCCCCCCAATGTAAACACAAGCCGGTTTTAAACTCAGAGTGGCATTTCTTGTTATTTTCCTCTTAAAGCCAGCGGTGGAAGACACATTCAGATCCTTGAGTAAAAGCAACACCCCAATTTAAAACTTCTCCAATGCAAAACAGGCGTGTCTAAAATGTTAAGTAAATGTAGGCAAGTGGGCTATATGTAAGTCAGCAGAAATGTACTTTTCAGTATCAAAGTAAGAAGTATCTGTAAGTACGTATTTCCCTCTGAAATGTAGTGGAGTAGAAGTAGGCCTATAAGGTGTCATAGATCGCTCTTGTGCTATTTTAAGGTGTTTTATTGGTTGTTTTATAGGATTGAATCTTCTATTTGACTGTTTTAAATGTTATTCATGATTTCTTAATCGCATATCTGGCTTTTGATACACATTTTTGTTTTGGATTTGTAAATAGTTTATCCACCCTTTCAACCTGCCCAACCCCCTGCACAAAAACAACACACACTACAGAAGAATATATATTTTGATGCATGATGTGTTTTTGTTTTTCACTATTTTTGTTGCCACTTTTTAATCTCAATGAGTCTTTCAAAGTAAACTCAACAACCTTTTAAAAGGTCTCAGTCAAAGTTACTGACTTAAAAAACGTGTGATGTATTTTCAATACTCTGAACGATTGACAGACGGGGATAGTGTTCAAATATTTTTGGGAAAAAATGAAAATACACAAACTAAAAGAGCACTAAAGCCTATACTCCTCTGTTCTTTGCTTAGTGTTCAATTCAAATGAAGTAAATGTTATTTCAGTAAAACTTCATACAAATCCACAACAAATGAAGCCGCTTGATTACACGCCAACGGTGTGTTACCATAAAGTTATTTCCTGAGTATAAGTGAGTTTATGTGCCCCGACTCTAAAGGACATCATTTGTTTTTGGGGCGACTGTGGCTAAGTGGATAGCAGGGCCGTCGCATGTGGATGTGTCCTTGAGCAAGACACTTAACCCCAAAATTGCTCCCGTAGCTGTGCCTACGGTGTAGAAATGTGATAAAATCTGAATTGTAAGTCGCTTTGGATAAATGACTGTAATGTAATGTTCCTCTGGGGTCAAGTGATGAGTAAAATAAACTACCTCTTTCATTGCCCTCATGTTATTCCCACTCGGAGTTGTGACCGCTTTGCATGTAAAACGGGTCCGATGTCTATTGCATGGCTGTGGGGGATACAGAGGAGACATGGTGAAGGTACAGATGCTCCGAACTGTTCTCTAATCAAACTGCCTACTGGTACTTTCACACCACGGTTTCTGATGTAAATAAACTGCCCATCTGGAGTCGATGGCACCTCTACTATGCAATTGAAAACAGATACCGAGAATGTATAGTGACCTGAGAGTGGTCCAAAAAGTTTATCATCATCTGTGCGTATTTCACTTCTCCATCCGTTGTGTCAGGACTTTAAATAACTTGTAAACAAAAACATTCAATCAGCCCAAAGCCTTTGCTCATCTGCAGACAGATATCAATATACTGTACGCACATGACGAGAGGGAGTGGGAGCTTAATGAAAAGCGGATAGCATGGGGTAAGAATGGAGAGCGCGCTTTTCTCAATGAGTCCAATGTTCTGCTCAGCATGTGCTCGCCTTGCATGCCACCCCCTCCCTCCCCATTTCTCACTCTATTCACTTCCTTCATCTCTATCTTCCACAACTACTTCAGCCCCATCCCCCACACCCTCACACATCTCTGCCATACCAAGCCCCTCGGAGCGGGGATGGGGACAGGGAAATAGGTCCACTCTGTGTGTGTGTGTGAGGAATGTTGTCCGTCTCAACCATTGGCACCACCTGGAGACCAATGTGGGGACTTGACAATGTGGTTGATATTAGCTTTTTGTTGCATAATCAGTGCACTGAAACTTATAACGAAGCAGCATTTCTCATCATTTTATATATTTTCTTCATTCTAATGATCGACAATGAGCAAACGCTGCAAATAACTGTTTATTATCACTGTACAGATACAGGACATGTCAGCAATTTGAGTACAGTACAGTTTTGTCTGTCACTCTCAAGGACAGAAATGATAGGACGGAATGGAACGTCTTAGAAAAATGGTCGTCTTATTTTACGTGTGTAATCAGGTCAACATTTTCATGGAATTCCACTCTCAATCAATACTGCAACTGCTTGTCCACTAGTCACTTTGGCTCTTGGATTTTGAGTAGTGAGATTTAATCTGAGATCAGTTATATCAGGATTACCAAACAGTTTGACATCAGTTGGTGGATTTGAACTGAGGTTACGCTAAATCAGCAAACTGCCTCTTATCACAGGCTGATTAAAAAATGTTTTCTGTAAAGGAATGACCAGATCTCCACTCGTGGCACAAGAAAACCATGGAACAAGCCGTTGATTTAAATGCTAATCAAGACTCCCAAGAGACAAACACTTCCACATCAGACGCCCTCTTCTGATACGTCTCCTGGCACGTGAACTCTGCAGCGGCTCAGGGCAGACAGAATCCTATTAACCATCAGGGGGGTCTTGGCCCACTGGCATGCTCCCCCCACCTATGTCCTCCTGCCCCCCACCCCCCCTCCAATATGCTCATCCGTCTTCCTCTCCAGCACGCTCTCCAGCTCATTCTAGTGATCCATTTTTAGGCGCTGCGTAAAACCGCAAGAGTGCTGCAGCCAAACCAACTAACAGATGTGGACAACACATCCTATTCCTGCCTGAGCCTGGGTTTCCCCCTGCTTGTGCTGCTGTTGGCCCTGGATGAGCCTGAACATGACTAACACACACATACACACACATCCTCCCTCTTTAGAGTAAAAAAAAAAAACAAAAAAAGGAAAGGAGCAGGAGTGAGAGAGGACAAATGTGGGAGCAGTTGAAAGGCAAGGTGGGCGGAGATGGGAATATTTGTGTGGGTGTCTTTTATATTTCTGCGAGGGGGCGGATGGAGGTTAGTGGGCGGGGGATGGGGCCCGGCTGATTCAGTCTGCTCATGAGTAGTATCTGACTCACACAAACAGGAAGTAGCGCGTGCTGCTTGTTTAGTGGACTGTATTTATGCGACACCCTTCGGGATAATAGGGAGCTCATACACTGCCTAATTTCACCTCCGTACGTCGGTCACTGAGTCAACGCTCCACTCTCCATTTTCAAATAGTTTCATATCCACATCCTGAGATTTTTTGGACTGAGATCTAGCGGGTGCATCAGTCATACTGTGACTCAAGCTTGTGAAATTTGTAAGGGTGAAAACAGTGCCATATTTGAAACTTCCTTTGGCAACAGCAGCCTTTACATGCCCATAGATCTCTCTCTTTTTTTAATATGTAGATATGAAAGTGTGCTTCTGCTCACGTTCTTCTTCTAACTAATTAAATCATTTTTAATAACATCCACTCCAATCAATCATGTATATTACTGTGAAGAATCATGCATACTGTGGAGCTTTTGCATAACACAATATTCAAATCATACACCATTCCCTCTTTAGTTTTATTATTAATCCCTAGAGGCAAACTCTCTTTGCTTGGTGCCGCCATAAGGAGGTCAGAGGTCAGGGTCAGCTTCAGTGCAGCATCTCTCAAGCCGACAGCAATTATTTCATGACAGATTTCTTTTTACTACAGCAGCTTTTTAATTATGTAATATTTAACATTTCAAATGTAATTTTGTTTTGCAAGTTTCATGTACTTAAGTTGAGCTATTTCGGTACTTTTAGATGTATAGTTAGTATCTGTGATCATGGTTAATAAAAGGCAGTCTGCTGTCTTTACCAATAGGTGGCAGACTCGGATTACATTTGCCAAATGACACTAAGGCCAACACCATGTAGCATCTCTGAGAAATGCCACCATCTTGTGGTGATACTTGTACATACAGAAAATATCTTCCCCTTCCCTTAAAAGACATTTCTCACTGGTTATTTACACTTCAGGGAAGTTCCATCACCGTCGACCGTGAACAGATTTCCTCTGAAGACATCCATTTCCGGTGAGGTGTTGTTGCGTTTCTGTTCATACCTCTCCACACGTCTCACCTCAGCTCTGGCTGTCAAGCGTGTCTCCTGGCAGCCAAGCATTGACAGCCAAGCACACAGTGATCATGTCCAGCAGAGGGTAGTCTTACTCTGAGAAAATCTGCTTCAGCACCTGAGTCTGAGGTGTTGCAGGTTTGCTGTCACAGAGAAAAAAAGACAATGCGGTAAACATGAGCCAATGACGCAGACATCAAGGAGCGGTTAAATCCATTCTCTCCAAACCATCAGTTGACACACCTATAAGGTTGAGGAAGAAACCCCTAAAGTGTGTTAATAGACAATTAAGGCTATTCCGAGAAACACAGTTTTGCAGGT